CATCTGCACTCCCATAGGAAGAGAGTTCCACTGGGCACGGGGTGTGTGGGTTTTGCACAAAAAAGAGAAAGTGCTCTTTTATGTCACCACACAGTGGAGTAAGTCCATCAACATGAGAAACAAAGCTTCCCTTGGGAGAAGGTCCTTTGAAAAGTAACTGGGGTCCAGCACATGAAGGACTTTAAAAGCCAATAATTGCTCTTAGGTAACTGCACACAGACACACCTGCTTTTGTGTCAGCATACTGTACTAGCAGTCATCTCCAGACCATCTTCAAGGGCAATCAATATTGAGTGCATTGCAATAGTTCCAACTAGAGACTACAGGAGCCTAGATCATCATGGCATGGCTATCTAGATGGCATTGCTAGCACATCAGCCTGACCAGGTAATAGGCACTTCTTGCATTTGAGGGAAATTGTGCCATTAAGTGAGACCACTGAATCCAGGAGTACCCTCAGAATATGAAGCTGCTCATTGAGAGGCGAGTGCAGTATACTGTACAAACAACCAACTGCTAAATACAGCAACTGTCCATCAACAGTGTCTCCACCTTCTCAGTACAGAGTTTATTGGCCCTCATGATCATCCAACGCATTACTGCCTCCAGACAACAGTTCAGCACTGAGACAGTTTCATATGGTTCAGGTGGAATAAAGAAATAAAACTGTGTGTCATCCAAATATTGGTTATGCCAACCTGGGAGTTCCATTAACACTAGTAAAAGCAGTTAGGGTGACGTTATCTGTCAATTCCTCCATCCCCTCCATCCCCTGCTGTGGAAGGTTGGGTCTGCTGTGTCGCTTAGCGGCTTTTGATACCATCAATCATGACATCCTTCTGGACAGTCTAGAGGAGCTGGGGGCATTGTTATACAGTGGTTCTGCTCCTTTCTCCTGGGCCATGTCCAGAAAGTGGTGTTGGGGGATGAGTGTTCAGACCCCTGGGCTCTCACTTGTGGGGTGTCTCAGGGTTCCATCCTCTCCCCCATGCTTTTTAACATCTAGATGAAGCCACTGGGAGAGATCATCAGGGGGTTTGGTTTCATCAGTATGCAGATGATACCCAGCTCTACCTCTCTTTTAAATCAGATGCAGTGAAGGTCCTGTGTGAGTGCCTGGAGGCAGTTGGAGGATGGATGGCAGCTAACAGATTGAGGTTGAATCCTGACAAGAAAGAAGTACTGTTTTGGGGGGACAGGGGGTGGGTGGGTGTGGAGAACTCCCTGGTCCTGAATGGGGTAACTGTGCCCCTGCGTAGACTGGGAGTTATTTTGGACTTACAGCTGTCCATGGAGGTGCAGGTCAATTCTGTGTCCAGGGCAGCTGTTTACCAGCTCCATCTGGTACACAGGCTGAGACCCTACCTGCCCGCAGACTGTCTCACCAGAGTGGTGCATGCTCTAGTTATCTCCTGCTTAGACTACTGCAACACGCTGTACAAGGGGCTACCTTTGAAGGTGACCTGGAAACTGCAACTAATTCAGAATGTGGCAACTAGACTGGTGACTGGGGGCGGCCGCCGAGTCCACATAACACCGGTCTTGAAAGACCTACATTGGCTCCCAGTACGTTTCCGAGCACAATTCAAAGTGTTGGTGCTGACCTTTAAAGCCCTAAACGGCCTCGGCCCAGTATACCTGAAGGAGCGTCTCCACCCACATCGTTCAGCCCGGACACTGAGGTCCCGTGCCGAGGGCCTTCTGGTGGTTCCCTCATTGTGAGAAGTGAGGTTACAGGGAACCAGGCAGAGGACCTTCTTGGTAGTGGCGCCCACCCTGTGGAACGCCCTCTCATCAGATGTCAAGGAAATAAACAACTATCCATCTTTTAGAAGACATCTGAAGGAAGCCCTGTTTAGGGAAGTTCCTAGTGTTTTTTTTGAAGTTTTATTCTGTTTTTGATGTTCTGTTGAAAGCCGCCCAGAGTAACTGGGGAAACCCAGCCACATGGGTGGGGTAGAAATAAATTATTATTATTATTATTATTATTATTATTATTATTATTATTAGGGGATGCTCCAGCAGTATGAGTATGATGAGTATGAGATGAAGTGTAGGTATCTGCATGAAAAATAGGCAACAATATTTCCTGCTTTTCTCCAAAGGGAAGCCTATGCTGGATCTTGGAACTGACACCCTCAAATTTAACCCACTATCCTTATTTAATGCACTATCCATATAATTTTCTGGTTGCAGAATATTAAATCTTATGTGATGAAAGACATGGAAGACATTAAAACAGCTGCCAGAGGCATGTACAGTATAGTTAATAAGATGATACAATACTGGCATCTTTGCAAACAAAAAACATTGGATTAAATCTTGAAGCCACTGGCATTTAAGGAGATAGAGGAGGCGTATAACATCAGTAGCAGATATCCCTGGCATGCCCTGGCAAAGCTGGAAAAAATCTATTCAAAACTGGGAAATTTCTAGATGAACTAATGGTCTGACTCTGTACAAAGCAGCTTCGCATATCAAAACATTCAAATGAGTTCAGCATGCCAACACTGAATATGTCACTGTAAAAATAGTTATGTTAATGGGATCTTTACTTCTGCAGCACAAAGTGGCAAGAGCAACATACGCAGAATGACAAAAAAGCCTGCCACAAAGGACAATGGAATGTGGTGGGTGGAGGACAAACATTCCTCAGGGGAAAAGATCCAGTATGAAGATATGTGGGGATATTAAGCATGAAACCATAGGGAGAATCCCTAGGAAATGTGAATTTCCCTCAGTTTTCCCAGATTACCTTTTATTTCTGCTTTCAGGATTGTCACACCTTACTTCTCTCTTTCCTGTTCCCAACTTGACATGCTAAAGCAAAAATACAACTAACAGTGAACTTGTGGATAAGTTTCAATACTTGCAGAATCAGAACTTTAACTATGGCCTGTTTTGTACTGGTGCCAGAAGCAACAGATTTTCTAATCATTTATAGTTTATTTTTCTCCTCTGTACGTCAGTGCATACTAAATATAGAGATTCCATAAATATATTAACTTCCACTGAATGGCTATAAATAAGTACAACCTACATTTATGCTCCTACCATATACTGTACGCTTCAGTTCTTATCGGCTGCTGCCTCAAATAAAACTGTACACATTAAACTTTTACATTTCTTATGCCTCTTCCTTGAATAACAAGACCTTTATTCTTTTGTGAAATATAAAACTGCCCAATGAGTCACTTGAACAGCAAACAGTTAAGATCAAAAACCAGTATCATATACAAGTGAAGTTTAACTTGAATGTAGCAATTTTGCTCTTTTCCGTTTACCACAGCATCATGTCTCAATTCTGTGAAACTATGGGTGGTATTCAACTAAGTTTTACTCAGGACACATTGAAATTGACGAGCATGAATAAGTTAGGTACATATCTTTCAGTGGGTCTACTCTGAGTAAAACAGAGCTGAATCCCACCCTGTGACATGATTCCTCTTCAGAAAACTGCAGTTGCAAAATAATACAGAATGCATTGTATATGTCCTCCCTACCAGCTTCTGTAACAAAAAGCTAGTAAGAAGTATAAACACTCAGAACACTTCTCGCAGCAAAGAGACTACACATCCAAGAAGTCTAAAGGGATAAAAACTCAGCATTTGAGCATCAGACCTTTAAAAGTAAATCCACTTTTAAATAATAAAAGGCCAACAAGTAAAATCAATTAAGCTCTTCAGTATCCCAGTAAACAAATATATTTACATGATACAAAATATAAAACAGCCAGTAACTAATATTGCTCCTTATATCTGATGTCCACAAATACAATCAAATACCACTAGTGGCTGAATCTAGAACCAGAGAGTTCTACTACAGTTCCTATAAGCACCCATGGCAACATTACAGTGTTTTGTTTAGCTGTTCTAGCACCTGAGGAATAACACCGGTGATAATCAAATCTAGCTGCATGTATTAAACGTTTCCCAGCCCAACTGCTGCTTTACAACTTGTGGTACCCAAGGGCCTTTGGCCATAAAAACCTGCTCCTATGCACCACAGCATCTATATTACCACCGTTAATTACTACTTTGAGGCTTGATCACATGGACACTGGTGATACACCAGCAGCATTTGCAACTACTGTCAACACACGCTGGGGTGCGAGCAATCATGTGTCTCTCGGTTGCGTGCCAACCTGCCCAAGGATGCTCAAGCCGCAATTTATTAGACCCCCCACAAACCAAACCCGTGGGAATTTGTTTCGGTGAGTCAAAACTACTGCTTGTTCTCCGTCTCTCGACGCAATACGATTAGCGGGAAGACGCAGTCATTTGCGTGTGCCAAAAAACCCCAAAACAAAACAACTGCTCTGCAAGGCCGCGAAGGCGAGGGGGTGGGTGGGTGGGAGGAGTGGGAAAGCGAGAGACTATTCCTCGGCTGCCCTATTTCTCGCAAGGCAGCATGGAGGAGGCCTCCTTATCTGCTCCAGCGTCTCCTTACTCCGAAGTGGAGCCACACGCAGGCAGCTCCTCCTCGGCGCCACCTTAATTGGCTGGCCTCGGGCGCCAGACGACCCAAGCAGACCAGCCCCCCTCATTCATTCCTCCTCCTCCTCCTCCTCCAGGGGAGTTAGCGAAGAAGCCCCTCGGCGGGCGCCTTGGGGCTGAGTATGCCTTGGGGTTTTCGGGGACCGAGCGAGGAAGCGCGGCCTCAGCGGCGAGGAAGCAGGCGGCCCAGAGAGGCTGAGCGCGGGGATGCGCCCCCTCGGAGCCGCGTTTCGCCTGCAGCAAACGCCCCCCGAGGGGTCTCTCCCGTTCCCTTCTCCTTCCCCTCGCAGCCTTCCAGACTCGCCCTCACCTCAGCGAGCCTCCATCCCGAAGCACCAGCCGTCGCCGCAGCCATTTCCCGTCGTCCCCGCCGCGGAGAAACTTACTGGCGAGCTCGACTCCAAGCCCGCTTCTCCTCCTCCTCCTGCTGCTTCCCCGCCTCTTTCGCTCCCCGCGCTGGGATGGCTGTTGCTGCCGCGCGTCCACTTCCGGCTCTTAGCGAGGGGAGGCCGGCTGAGGGAAGGGGCGGCGAAGGCGGAGCCGCAGCAAGGAGGCCGGGTCGAGCGCTGGGCTCGTGAGGAGCTGGTTGCTTTGAAGCACGCTGATAGGGTACGGGCTTTTTCAAATGTGGGGAGCAAGCTTTCGGATGCTACAGGACGCTTCGTCGAGCTTAGAAGTGCAAGAAGGGCCACAGGAACGCCCTTCTCGGGTTGTTGCCCCGTAGAGTTACCCGCCCCTCCACCACACGCATCCCAGCCCGCCTGCATTTGGGTAACAGCTGCAGGACAAAACATTCTGCGGGTAAAGCCTTTCCCAGCCTTCGGGTTGCAGTGAAGGGAATAACTTCACCAGTTGAATTTTCTTCATGTGGCTGTTCCACAGGAGGGGGGGTGGAGTTTACAACCATTCCCACACGCTGTACCTTAACTTGTTACGTCATTCTCTGCGCATGCACTTTTAATTGCTTTCGGAAGTGCCTGGATACTGACCAAGGTGCGATACATCGTCACCTGAAGGCTGCCCTTTTCCCACATCGTCCTGCCACGTGGGCCAGTGAGCAATGTACGAGGCAATCTTTGCCAGCTAGTGTTTCGTACTAGAAATACTTTGTTGAGGGGTGTCATCTGTTTCTCACAGTGCACTTTTCACAGCTGCATGACAGAAATTCAGCAGGTAGTGTTCAACTTCGTGCTTGAGAAAGCCTCATTTCGTATTTCTGCTTGCCACAAAGCAGCTTCAAGGAACAGGATCCCTGCCAGGAAAGCAGAAGGGTGGGGTGGAAACTTAAGCTTTCCACTAACCTCTTGCTAGATAGCAAAATTCCTCACCCCCAAAATAGTAGAACTATTATTGGTATAACTAACTCTTCGAACTAGAGCTTCAAAATGTGGCCTGGATTGGCAACTGGCATGAGAATTTAGAAGGCACAGTCTCAACACTAGTTGTTTTCTACGAAAATCAAAACCCTCCCACTTCTCATCTCACTGGCTGTCTCCGATAATGGGTGGAGGCAAACAACAGTGGGGTGACCGAAAGGGGTTGGATTTCATGCTTCGTCCCAGACAACGTGACTTTTGTTCCTGAGGACGTGCTGTTTATGGCAGCATCTATGGTCAGCACGTCAGGACTAGGTTGGAGATGTCACCAGTGTCTGCATTTTACAGCAGTAAGGACAACACGATGGTCATTTACTTTACTCCTTGACGAGGAATGATCTATTTTAAACACAGTATATCACTAGAGTGAATATTAGGACACTGCCTGTACAAATGTGATTGCTGGACTTGGAACAATAATTCTGCTTCTAAACCAACACACATATTTCTAAAAACGACCCAAAAGTAATTGTTTAGTTGGCACTGGTTAAATGATTCATTAACAAGTTAGCTTCTACTGAGCGCAGGTTTGTATAGTGATAGTAAATAGATTCAAAGAAGAGAGAGAGAGAGTAAACAATCATTTCCTGTTCCTGCCATTAGATCTAAGTAAGAATGTTTTGAATTACTGGAAACTTGCATAAAAAATGTGAGCTGGTATGCAAATACAGGAACATTGAACTTTATCATATGCTACAGGGAAAAGACTGAACATACCCAAGGGAAAATAAACTAAAACAAGACATATGAAGTAATATCAATTGAAAGAGGTCTGAAAAATAGAATTAGGCAGTATATTTTCAGGTTAGACTAGGCAAACAGCTATTGCATAATGCATGTTTAATATCAATGGAAACAATCGTTCAAAAATTACTGGTGAAAAAAATATTAGAAATATTGAATATAGAATAAATATAGAAAACCATTGAATTTGGTTTTACAATTTTGACAGTATATAAAGGTGTTAAAGGCTGAGGTTCAATCTTTTTTTCCTGTAATGTATTATGACAAAACTCAAAACCAAAAACATTTAATTCCTAGTGAAGGTGCAATTTAATGAAAAAAAATACTTTAACTGCTTTTGCTAAATTTAAACTAATATTGTTAAAAGTACAACTATATAAGCCAGGAGTTGCCCAGGGATATGAGGAATGGACAAAGTACACAGTAGTTTGTATGCCTCTCAGTCCTGCTTCCCTCATAATCATCTCTTTCTTTATTTACTTTGTTTGTTTGTTAGGTTGTATTAAATCAGACTTAGACTTTTGTTCCACTGAACACAGTGAAACACACATCCAAGTAAACATGCATAGGATTGTGCTGCTTGAATATTTAAAATGCCAGTAAGACCATAAAGCTATTTAAAATCTCTTGAATACCTTGTAATTGCATCACTTCTTAGAAATCAGTTGCTTGACTGAAGTAGGAACATCCTGACATGTCACAATATTTGCAGACAACGTGCCTGAGATATGCACAATTCTCCACAGAGTAATAATACTTAGTTTTATTTACAGAATTTTTCAGTGTGGAATCCTGATACTAAAAACTGGGCTAAATCTACCTCTGATTAGTCCAAGGATACAGGAGGACAGAGGGAAAGGTAATTTCATACTTTTACATGTGTATGCCTCCCTCCTTTCTTCCCTCCTTTGTGGAACTCAAAGCAGAGTACATGTGGTTCCCAGGCAGTCATCCATCCAGGCACTCATCTGCTTAGCAAAGTGGGGGCCTCATGCAATCAGACCATAAAGGTAAGGGTAAAGGGACCCCTGACCATTAGGTCCAGTCGTGGCCGACTCTGGGGTTGCGGCGCTCATCTCACTTTATTGGCTGAGGGAGCCGGCGTACAGCTTTCCAGGTTATGTGGCCAGCATGACTAAGCCACTTCTGGTGAACCAGAGCAGCACACGGAAACGCCGTTTACCTTCCCACTGGAGCGGTACCTATTTATCTACTTGCACTTTGACGTGCTTTTGAACTGCTAGGTTGGCAGGAGCTGGGACCGAGCAACAGGAGCTCACCCCGTCACGGGGATTCGAACCGCCGACCTTCTGATTGGCAAGTCCTAGGCTCTGTAGTTTAACCCACAGCGCCACCATACCCTGAGATAATATCTTACAACATTTGTATGGAATTGACTCAGAATATTTTCTATTTTCCATAAAACTACTGAATTATTAGACAAATGTTGCATTAGAGGAAATAATATTTGACATACTGTACAACCCTATAACCTGGTTCACAAATCACTTTAAACTACAATATTGTTAACTATGGTTTAAAGGTCAACATGCAGCATAACTACTGAAAATTGCAACCACTCTGTTCCTACCCCACCCCTGCTACTGGTATGCTGCTGGGACCTAAAATGTGGCTTGGTTTCGTCAGTGTTATGTTGAAGCTGGGCACATTCTTTGTTTGCTGGGGGAAAACAAACCATGAGCCTGCATTTGGACACAATGCTAAGCCAAACTGTGGCTTAGCTCCCTGCCACCACAAGAGCAGCAGGGGGATGGGAAGAGCAAAGCAGCTGTGATTTTCAGCCTGTGCACCAGCACACTGCATTCACCTTTAAACCACAATTAAGCTTAACTAAGCAGTATGCAGACACTGACAATGTTGGAAATAAGGGACCCTCTTTAATCCTTTTCATAAACAGCATATGGAAACATTAGTGCTGATTAGTTCTTTTTCCTCCCTTATCTATTTAAAACATTTTATGCTACTTTTCCATTTTAAAATATTAAAAAGCTGATCTCAAAGGTAACAACATATCCTAAAGAAATTATTTAGACCACTCAATAATTGCTCCATTTATAAATAAAGGCAAAATGAACAATTAATAGGAATATTAGCCAGGTTTACTATATAACTCCACCTTTGTCTCTACCCTTATCCATATAGTTCCCTTCCTTCCCATATTCTGCATGTTGTGATAACTGCAACGTGCCACCTATGTCTCAGTGCCTCTTGCCATGGAACTCTGTAGGTCAGGAAGAAAGACATATTCAATACCTTTTTTCCCCCTCTTCTGCATCATTGGTTAGCTGCTGGGACCGGGATGGGAGGGCGGGGAGAGGAAATGGAAAAGCTTAAGTTTGATAGGATTAATGTCCGCCTCCTGTCCTCTGTCTGGTTCACACAAGAAGCAGTCACACATAATTTTGGAATATCTTATGTATGCTGACCTTTATTGCTGTTGAAGACCTTCACTATGGTTGAGACAATATTAACTTACAAATGAGGCTCTGGTGTGTTGGATCGAGTCACGTAGGTCTGTCAAAACATATCTAAATTGTTGTTCTGGAAAAATATCACAATTCAAAACATCCACAATAGTTAAATAGGGCCCTCCAGTTTTAAAATCAACCATTACATAAAAGTATATTGTAGGACTATACTGTGAAATGGTGTTTATGTTTTTTGCAGAGATTGCATTTTTATCAGTGTGATGGATTGTGAAAGTAGGTCAGAACCTTGGGATTACTGTGTTGTGGTGGTAATGTTTTAAACCAGTCAGCACATTAACTAATCACTGTGGTTCATACTCACACTAGAGTCCACAAGAGGGGTAAAAATGACTGTGGCCCACCGGTTACAAAACAGTAATACAGAGCCAGAACAAAATGGTGATGTGCTGAGGCAAAGATTGGCATAATCTGCTAGGAATAACCAACATTTTCTATTGATATGTGATCTCTCTTTGGAAATTGCCGCATTGTTTGCCCCTGTTATTTCCTTGTAGTAGGGACTTCCACAGTAGTGTGGAAGTACAGTAATGTCTGTAATGTACTTAGCTTTCTTCCAGCTAAGTACAGACATTAGCTCTAGAGGTGTTGTAATTAACCTTCTAATTTGAGGCAGGATTTGCTGAACTATAGACTCTAAGTCAGAGGTTCCCAAACTTATTTGGCCTACCACTTCCTTTTTTAAAAAGTATTGCTCTCACAAGAAGTCAATATGGAGGCCATTTGCGGGATAAAGGAAGTTTTTTATTTTTATGTTATGTTTTCTTTTTGTAAGGGGATAGGAGTTTTATTTTGATAATTAAATTGTCAATGGTGGTGGGTTTGTTTGTATGTATGGGTTGTTGTTGACTATGTTGTAAATAAAAATATTTTTTTTTTTTTAAATTGCTCTGCAGCCCCCTGGAAATATACTTTCTTTAAGCGAACATACAGAAAGGTGCTGCTGTAAAAAAAAAAAAAAAATTGTCTACAATGACAGTTCTTAGCCTGGATTTCTCACGTCTGAGGCCTTCAAATCTCTGTCAGTCCCTCTCTGCCGATTTTGTTGGTAGCCTTTTGTGTTAGTCAGCAGGTCTCGAAGGAGCTCTATCTCTGTAGAATCGAAGTTTCTTCCAACCAGTCCTCCATGTTCAAAGGTGGAGCTCCAATCATATTTCTTGCTTCTTTTCAACCCAAATATTCCAAGTGTCCCGGAAGCTCCCTCTTTCATCTTAAGCAGATTTGTAATCCATGAATCTTCCGAACTCCCCATGAGGAGATCACTCCATTCTTCATTTTTAACTTCCGTCCAAGTTTTCATAATCCACATCTTACTTTCCTTGTATTCCACAATTGTAGACTTCTGGTTGGTCATTTCCACCTGCACTTTTTCCGCTCCTTCTTCCCTCTCCTCAATTTCTGACAATATCTCTTCTGATTCGGCTGCAGAATTTTTTCCAGTCAAGTCCCCAGCACAGTCAGCAGGATTGCTTACTTTAGAATTCAAGGTCACAATCCTTCTAGCCATAGCTATACTCTGGTCTTGTAATTTTCCCACGAGAAGGAACATCCTTTCAAGCTCGGCCTGTAATTTTCCATCTGCAGCCATTGTAATGACTCAGAATTCCCCCTAGAGGGATTCTGGTTACTTAATAATCTTTTTCCAACAGTCTGATACCTTGTTATTTATTTCTTCTTTGTTTCCAACAACTTAAGTTTCAATGTAACACACTTAGTCCGCAAAGAAGGTAAATAACAAGTCTTTCTACTTTTGACAGCTCGTTTGACAGCTCCTCAACAGCTGTCAAACTCCTTATGTCTCCTCAACAGGCTCGCACGCAGGACACTCCCGGGGTCCGGGGGGGGGGGTTTACACAACAACTTCTAAAGTTCAACGCTTATCCTCCAGCACAAAACTTCTTATGCCAATTGTGAAATTAATATCTTTTATCTCGCAAGGAGAGGAATGGTCTCTCCACCTTAGTTATCCAATTCTTGCTTTAGATTGTCTGCAGGAAGGGGGGTGCGGACTTCCTTTTAGCACATCCCCCGGTTGTACCGAATTCAAAAAGAAGAAAGGTTTTTCAGTCCCAATTCCGTTTTACTCACGGGTTGATTTTTTCAGTCCAAATTTCAAGGAAGAAAGTCAGCGCTCTCCGGCCATGGCTCGCGGCTTCACTCCACTGGAGTAGCGGTTTACTCACAGCACCACACCACTCTCCGTACCCTCTTCGAAGCCTTTAAAAAGGCTCTTCGTGGGTCGGGGGGCGCTTAAGGTGCCCGCCGAGTCACCAAGTCCGCAGGCTTCAGCGCCTGCGGTTTCTGAGGGTCCCCGCGTCGCCGCCGCGGCAGGACCCGTCTCCAGCAGAGCCGATTCCCTCCGGAGCTCGGAGGGAATCCGCCATTAGCCGATCGCGCTAACCCGGAAGTCTCCTTCAAGGCTCCCTCAGCCTCTTTCCATTCAGAGAAAGGCGGGGTGGGGGCTTCCTGGCTCAGCAGGAGACTTAAGTGGAGGAAGGAGGACAGAGTGTGTGTGCGTGGAGCAGGGGGACCCAAAGGCTTTGAAGCAGCCCTAGACTGAGTCTTCTCCTTTTGTCCTTTCCTTCAGTCTGATGGTTGCTTCTGTTCCCCTCCCTTTCTCCCCTCCCTTACTTTCCCTCACAGACACCTAACATGTCAAGGACCTTGAGGAGCTGGAACTAGTGCTGAGGATCTCCTTGAGAGGCCATCAGGAGGAGACACCTGCTGAGGAACATTTTTGCTGTCACGGGAGAAGGTGGGCCCGGCTTCCAGTCCTCAGGAATACTGGCACCAAAAGGTCCGGGTCTTGGCTGAAGAACAATAGCATAGTATGTGTTGACAGACTCAAGAGTCATTGCGTGGCTTGTAAGCAAGCAATTCCTGAAACATCTTCACTACCAGCAGCTGTGGTTAGGGTGTGGTCTACAAGAAGGGAGTTTACAAGGTCTCCCTCTCGGGCCTTCTGTTCTCTGGAAACAACATAGGTTTTGGGCTCCTTGGTGTAATTTGCATGCTTTGCTGTGTTGTATCTTGCCTGAACTCCCTGTGATATTGACCTTTGACCGTTGCTTGACTTTGCCTCTGGATCATGTTTTGGACCTGAAATTATCCCCTCCGCTTGACCCTGGTTTGTTTGGACTGTGCTGCACCTTCAGCTTTGCTCTCCTTGGTGAATATTTTGCCAAGTTGCTTCTAAATCCTGTGAGGGCCCTGAGGACACCCACTGGAATGTGACACAGCAAGAAGGAATTGCAGCTGTTCACTTAAGACTAGGGAAAGTAAAGGGGTACGCCCAGGTGAGTGGTTCCTTGTCCCTGGATGGACTGTAAGAATTTACAGTAGCTTATTCCTATCTGCATAGCTCCATCCTGGGTTTTATTACTTGGTCACATTAAGTGTGCTGCTATGTTGGAACTGATTGATCTGGCCTAGTTATCTCTGAAAGAACCAGCAAAATAATATATGTTATTCTTGGCTTGTTTTTTTACTGCAATTTATCTGCAGGCTAAAGAATACTAATTATCCTACAAAAAGAGAGAAAAAGACTCAGTAAAGGAATATAGTAAAAGAAATTTAGGGAAGTTTTTAGTGTTTTATTGTGCTTTTAATTCTTTTGGGAGCTGCCCAGAGTGGCTGGGGAAACCCAGCCAGATGGGCGGGGTATAAATAATAAAATTTATTATTATTATTATTATTATTATTATTATTAAGTGATGGAGGGGAAGCAGCAATAACAAGAGGAATGCCAAAAAGTAGAACACGATGGACGAGATAAAGCTATTCAATTAATATCAAAAACCCTAAACAACTTGGACCCCTAATAAGTTTTTATATAAGCCCAAGAGCTTCTGCATGCCTGGGGTAATTCTTATTTCCTTTTGGATTGAAGATCCTCTTGCCATATAACAAACTGCTTTTTAACTTCTCTCATTTTCAAAAGTTTCAAAAGTTTCTCATGTAGTGTGAGCAAAAGGAGGGACAGCTGTTTAAGATACACAAGTCTCAGTCTTCTTTAATGTACAAAACTCTGCATGGTTCTTATGCATTGCCAGGCGTAATTTTAAAGTTTGTTCACACATTTTAATCTATGCAGGGTATGGACTTCATGCCACAGGCAGTAAGTGCATAAAATGTTTACCGTGGGTACTAGACCTAATTGACCCATGTTAGCCGCTGAAATCAATTACTAATTTTGTTGTTCAGCTTTCTGTTTCATTAGTGCTTCCAAAAGTACTGACTTTTGGCCATTCTATATCCAATTATCTAAACCCTGAAGAATCCACCTCCCTGTGCTTCTTCATATTTTGCTGGTGAGATCATGTTGTTCCTTGACATAATTGACACATTGCTGTGCAGCTTCAAACAAAGTCTAACCAAGGCTGCAGTTGTGACTATTGATTGTGGAGAGCAATGACAATAAGATTTCTCTTCAGTTGCTCTAAAACGGCAACCAGTGTGTGTCTGTATAATGGGGGAAGGGGTTAACTGCAAATAAAATACTACAAATAAAATTTACTAAAACAGATGGGCAAAATTGATATTTATTTATTTTAATTACTGCACATGGAACCCTTCATCAGGCGGAATGGAAAGGTGATTTGTTTTCCACTTAGGTTGTCTCTGCACTCAGAGGCTGGTGCCCATTGAGACTGCTAGGGCAAAAGGAAGGGAGCCCAACAGTAGGTGGAGCCAGAGCCAATGACAGGCAGAGTCAACTAATTATAGTTTCATCTCCATCCTCCTTCCTGCTGAATTCTTCAGTGGCAACGCTGCCAGAAGCTGCCAGCCAGTGCCATTCTCTAGAGTCTAGACTGGCTGTAATTGCTCCATCAACCCTCCACTGATCCGCATTATACACAAAATCTGGATCCCCAGGGGATTGGATTTTGTTCTCCATCCCATGTCTACATAAAAGCAGTGCCAGGGCAGGGATTAGGATTAGCCTGTTTAGGCAGGATAACTCCTCCTATCTAATTTCCAGGGTAATTCTCCATAAGGGAGAGGACACCCTAGATGTGTAGCATTTGGTTAAGAAATAAAGCTTTTAAACTTCCATTGATGTTTGGTTGTTTATCCTAATATCCTTGCATTGCCTTTCAAATAAAACTCCTCGGCTGTGTTCCCAGACCTGAAAACCTTGTCACACACAGCAAGGCTGTTGTTTTGAAGTTCCAACTCTCAAATGGGATCGTAGCAAAACAACAACTTCATTGTGCATCTTCTCATAGCTCTACAATTTCTGTGGTTAATCGGAAAAATAATTGAAGTTAATGTGTTGAGAATTATCCAAAGCTTATTCCACATTACTTTTTTTGTCAGCAGAGACTGGTGTAATAAACTACGTGAAAGCTGCATGTAATTCTTAAAATTAAGTATCTGACTGGCATTTCTCTGTGAATTTTTAAGTATGCTAATTGCTACAGATACCAAATGTTCTTTTCAGATATGCCCTCAATAATGGCAAGTGAAGCAACAATTTAAAACTGAGGGTACATCTTTCTGACATTTAAGATTACAGCTTGGCGCTTGAATAACTCTGTCAAGACCTTAACTGTGCTCATTTATTCAATATTTAAAGTTCTTGTGATAAAGACACTTCTGTATCTACTGGTGCTCGGTGGAAATTAAGAAGGAATTTCAGAAATTAAAATCACATTTATTTCCTTTGATGTCTTATCAGGACTATAAAAGCTTTGTTCTCTATGTGGCCTACTGTCACGGCTCTCAAAGTGTGAGAATGAGATACAGGAAGTTGCTAAGGAGATTGGAGCAATTGCCAAACCCTTCCAAGTCTAGTTCTGTGAATTATTTCATTGGAACAGGAAACAAAGTGCTCTCATACAGCTTTCTTCCAGTAAAACAGGCAGCTGAGTGAACCATCCTGCATCCATACCAGTCTGGTGTTACTCTCAGAAACAATATAACAGTATTTTTTGTTTGCTTGCTTGTTTAGATGCCCCTCACAACCCAAGACTTGAAACTGTATTTTACATAGCTTGTGCATAAATCCAGCGCTGGTTGTTAATGGTAACACCCCAGGATCAGGAGAATAGATGAGATCTGTTGAAAAAAGACCCAGCATTAGGAGGATTGACCCTGCGGCAGGATCTGAGAGCCTTGTGGATGCCGGGAAGTGTTTCAACTTGTCTTTCATCACTGAGCCCTACTCTGATAGGAGAACTACAAGATGGATGTATAGGATTATAGAAAAAGTAACGTGGCAAGACCTCACCCTTATAAAAACTTGAAGGCCAGACTTCCTCTGTGTGAGCAATAAGGGGACTGAGCTTCCTATTGTTTCCTGCTACAGATTCACTTTTTGTTATTGCAACTAACAAGAGTCCTGTTCATGCCTTGTTATACAGATTGTGCATACACATAGCCTTTGAAACACACATGGGTCTTTTTTAGTGTTCTTTTGTCATAGCTGTCAACTTACAGATTTGAAAATAAGGGACCAGCAGCCTTGAAAATAAGGGATCAGCAGCCAAAATAAGGGACCTGCAGCCTCACCTGTTCCAGGCACTCCAGTCTCCCTGTCCTCCTGCAGTCTGGTCAAACTCATGATGGTAGCTTCGAGAACACTGTCCAACCAACTTTGTAACCAGAGGTTCAACTGAATAGAATCTGAATCACATGCACCACAAGGCCTATGCAGCCTCAACTTAAGATGGCTCCCCGGCCTGGCTTTGCATTGCAAAGTTTGCAGCAGCACGTGCAACAAAATGCATTCCAGCATTCAAAAAACCCCTCAGCTTGCATTAACTAGCGACACACACACAGCCTCCCCACCTCGCCACGAGATCGCCAGTCACCCACCATTTTAGTCAACCAGCTCCTTTCTCCCCCCCCATAAGTCAATCGAAGGAGCCTCCAAAACAAATTCAAAAGCCCCCCCCCACGAGATCTCCTTTCCTTTTCCCCCCACCATGTGCCCCCGCTCCAGACAGACCTTTTCACCGGCAAGGGTGAGTGGGCCGTCGATGACGTATCCATCCGATTCTGATCCGAGCACTCAGCACAGGTATGTTCAACTTCTGAGCCCCTCTGAGCCAAAGGCAGAAAGCCCAGCCAGCAGCCAAATGAAGCCTCAAGGAAAACCACCGTCACCTCTCTGCTGGGAAGCGCTGAGCAAAGGCGAGTCCCCAGGCAACGCAGCCGATTTGATCAGCACAAGGCATGCAAGCTCCACCCCCCAGTCACTCTTAGACTTCTTACTGGGTGAGCAACACAGCCAAGCAACAAAGTTGGAGTCTCCCTCCTCCCTGGCCGGCAGGGAGGGAGGGAGGGAGAGGAGCTGCTTCCTTCGAAATTTAAGGGACATCATTTAAGGGACATCCATCAATAAGGGACAGCAGCGGGACATGGCGCTGGAATAAGGGACTGTCCCTTCAAATAAGGGACGCTTGACAGCTATGGCTTTTGTACATTGCAGACTGGTCTGCAATCAGTCAAGAGTTTGCACAGTAGTCTCAGGCCTTCTTCTGCTGCTTCAACAGCCCCATGTGGTATTTATTGACAGACATGGGCCCTAGCATCTTGTTTTTTAGAAGTGAAGCTATGCACACAGGCAGGGAGGAGGACTATACACCAGTACTACACTTCTCTGAGTTACGAGGAAGGGATTTTGGACAGCAACTACTCTGTTGCCAAAACATATGGAAACAAGCCTTAATGAGACTAGCAGAGGAATTTAAATGCAATGAAGGTTTGTTCATTTGAACTAAATCTTTGAATGAACATTGGTTTGAAGAACCACATATATTTTCCAGGATATATACCCCAAGAACTGATAGACATGGAAATGACAGTTGATGCATGGCACTGAAAGCATTCTAAATTAAGCATCATTTTCAGGAAGAAACTAGATTTCTTAGCAACAGGTATGTGGTATGTTTTTGCCAAGTGCTATTTCCTCCTTTTTCGAGAAAAGGAAAACACTTGGCAGTCTGCAGATTTTTTTGCTCTCGCTGGGAAATAGATCATGTTTTGCTGCAGCTGTCTGCTAAGAAATGGAAGAGTTGTTTTGTGAGGATTACCGGCAATGTGTGTTTCCCTCTTTTCAGTATAAATAATCATCCCAACTGTAGTGAAAGCACTTTGCTTATTTTGTGTGTGGGTAGCATTTACTGTGGAACAATGTGGCCGACAGCAATAAACACATTTCTTCAAAGTTTAAGATGCAGCAGCACTACATGGTTTTATATTCAGGCCTATTGAAGATCTGCCAGCTGAGAGACTATAGGATTTGGCATAAGCCCCACAACACAACAGATGGTCCCTTCCAACTCTACAATTCTATGTGTCTATGGATACGCCAGCATAGCTCCCCTAATACACCAGTGATCCCCTCCTGAAGCCCCTTTCCCCTGCAATCATATCAATTGGAAGACTTGTGTTTAGGTTTGACTATACAGAAAAAAGATTTATGTACAGCACATTTGTTTACAACCTTTAATTTAAAACTATTTTGACTTGCAGGGTGGTGCACTTAAAAAACCCCACTTAATGGCCTTATTTTACCAGATGCACAAGCTTCTATGTTTCATGAGCTACTATATCCAGTAGGGGCAAGGATTCTGTACAATTAATAATTCCCTCCTCCATCTAAGCTATACTACTGCTATCTTGCCTTGCTTGATTTGTCCCCAGCTAGATAGACTTCTGACCTGACTCAAGTGCATGTCTACCCAAAAGTAAATCCTGCATTGGGGTTAATGGCTCCATCAGTACAGCATGAGACTCTTAATCTCAGGGTTGTGGGTTCGAGCCCCACATTGGGCAAAAAGACTATTGCATTGCTGGGGGCTGGACTAGATGACTCTTGTGGTCTCTTCCCACTCTACAGCTCTATGATTCTATAGTTCTATGACTTTCAGGAAGCCAAACTGGAATTCCTCTGCATAAGATCTTGGAGAACCACTCTGGTACGAGTAGATGTTAGTACATGTTAGAAAACTTTTAAAATATTATAAACATTCCCTTAATGAATGAAAAGAAGAAAAAACCAAAATTACAAAGACACTAAGCTAGATAATTCACATTCTATAATGTTGATTTATGAGAAAGAAAACCCAAATATGACAAGAATATGTGAAGATACATATATAAATAACCTTGATTCCAAAGTAAAAGATAAACACTTCCTATAGTTTAACTAAAAGTCAGAAAATGAAAGTCCCCCTCCAGCATTTGATCAAGTACATAGGGATTAAGATTGTTTTGAGTTGATATGATCTGAGCTTTTACAAATTCTCTCTAGATGTCTCAAATTATTAGCAGTTCGAAAGCATGTCAAAGTGCAAATAGATAAATAGGTACCGCTCCGGCGGGAAGGTAAACGGCGTTTCCAGGCGCTGCTCTGGTTCGCCAGAAGCGGCTTAGTCATGCTGGCCACACAACCTCCATAAGATGTACGATGGCTCCCTCGGCCAATAAAGCGTGATGAGTGCCACAACCCCAGAGTCGGCCACGACTGGACCTAATGGTCAGGGGTCCCTTTACCTTTTGTACCACCTTTCATCCAAAGATCACAGGGCGGTTCACAACATAAAATTTTATGTTTTAATGTAGCTATGTGGGCTTTATTTTCTTGTTTGTTTGCTTGTTAGTAGCTTTAGATTGCTCTGGGAAAAATAAAGCGGCTGGCAAATTAAATAAATAAATAAAGCTTTCCTATGACAGCTCTGATTATGGGATCCCATATATTTGCAAAGGGACGCCTGTTCTGGAGGGCTCTGCTTTCCTGGAGGGATTTGAATTTACTGGCGCCTAGGGATCCTCCTCCGGGAAATTCCAGATACTGGGACCAAGGGACAATGACTGATTCAAAATGAATAACTCTCGGGCTCCCCCTTCCTCTGCTTCCAAGGCTTCTTGGCCACTGGCAGCTTCCTCTACAATCAACTCACCGCCCCCTCCCGGCTTTATTCTTCCTCAACGCGGCGCGTCACTGAGCGGGGGGGGCGGGGAAATCAAACTAGCACCGCCCACCGGCGCTACCGCCACGTACCTTCCCCCAGCGCAACGCACCTCCCCAGGCCTGTTTCGCCGCCTGCGCAACCGAACGCGGCTGCTTCGCCGTCGCCCAATCGTGGCCCTACGCGATGCCCAGAAGGGGGACAGGCTCCGCCAATCCGCGTGCTCCGAGAGGTGGTGCCTATTACTATGGGAACGGGGGAACTAGGTTTCGCTACAGATCTGCTTCAAGGGGGTGTATCGGCGAAGAGAGAGGCTGAGAGGAAGGAAGGGAGGAAGGCAGGGAAGGGAAAGGGAGGAAGGCAGGAAGGCGGGAGGAAAAGAAGCCACCAGGTGCCTGGCAACTGGGCTGCTGTTGCTGGGGGCTCTGTAGGCTGCCTCTCTCTCCTAGCACGCGAGTACACAATAGGCAGAAGCCACATCAGCTGGAAGACGCTCAGGATCTCTCCGTCTCCATAGCTATGAATCACAGCGAGATAAAGGTAAGTCAGGTTTCCTCCAAAGCTGGACCAGAAGGGGCGAGCTGGCTGCCCGCTGGGATGGTGCACTTGCTTGGACCCTTCCCTGGGTAATGAGCTCAGTGGACAGGTGTCACTCTTAAGTTTCTTCTTTGCCCAACAGGTTATTCTGGCAGCACATTTTAAGCCGTGGGCAGGGTGGGAAGTGGGAGTCTGATGGATTTATTTGCTTTTCAACTAAGGGGCTGTCAAATTGGGTGGTGGTGAGCCATGGCTATTGTTGGCACTGCAGAGCTTGCCACCTTCTGAGAAAGTGTGCTTGCCCAAGGTAGGAGAAGTGTAGCGTCGGTTAAATTGATGGAGAGGAGCTGGTCCAAGGGGTTAGCTGCACCTGGGATACTCATGCTAGCTAGCACATGTAGTCAAAGTTCCCTTTTGAATGGCAGAATTAACGCCTGTGACCTTGTGATGACATCAGTTCACCTAGGGGAAAAGTGGGCTTTTAAAAAGTCAGAAGTATGCCCAGTTTTACTCTTCTTAACTCATCAATGGGATGGAGTGATAAAGGCATTATGTGAGCAACTCTTGTCCTCAAATATACAATGCAGCAAAAAGTAATATACACACACACACATACAGTAACTACTTTCTTGTTGGGGTACAAAAGTATTTGAAGTATAATCAAGTGCTTTCCGTGTTACTTCTTGAGATGGGCATGGTAGGACCACAATCTAAGCTCCCCAATTATTGCATATTTAAGCCTGTCTTACGCTGTATGTTTGTATGTTTCAGATCCTTGCATTTTATTTTTTATGCAATTGTCCTTAATATGTCAGCTACATTCAAGTTAATGTGTGTGGCGGAAATTATACTTAAGTTAATCTGTGGGTAAGCAGAGTCAGCTCCTTGATGTAGGCACGTGGGTTGTTTCCTTTAAATGGTAGAATATTGCCACTTTGTTTTATTGTGCTATCAGAACAATGATTATTTAGTTCTTTAAAAACACTGTGAAATAAAATGGTTCTAGCAATGAATGAAAGCAGTGACCTGTTGCTGATTCATCATAGCCCTTGTTATGTGTAAAAAGACGGGGGAAAGTGTGCAGGGAAGCAAGCTTTCTTTTACATTCACAAGAAAACCTTGGCTGAACTGGTTTTAATGCAGTTCAGGGTTTCATGTTTTCAGATAAGATGGATATCATTAGTCCTGGATAGGTCCCTTGTGCAAGATGTCCTCAATGGGTGCCATTCCTGAGTGTGCCTTCCTCCTCACTGGTGTCCCAACTAACCATTAACTTGCTTTCTCCTTCTGGTCTCAGTCTGCATATCTACCCAAAGGGAGATAGTTGTTCTTTCTTGTTACTTTTGCTACTGCTTGAATACTCGGAGAAGACAGGTGAGCAGGTAGTGACAGCAGGAAGGAGCAGCAGCAGAGCCAGGAAATGTTGGGAATTGATCGTGACCTGCTGCAAGAGTGTGGGCCTTGGCAGATGACAAATAATGCCTACCTCTGACACTCGTTTCTCATGTCACTGCCAGTACCTGTGGTCCCCCCTGGCTTCTCAGAAGATTAAAAGAGGACTTCAGTGATTGTGGCATTTATACTGTGACAATTATTTCAGCATAATCGCATTATCTGATTTTATCTGCATTGTTCAATTTAATAAGAGATTTATTTGAAAATGTAGAAAGGTTTTTATATTAAGTACAGTATTGTCAACAGCCTTATTTGGGAATTGGGCCATCACTGAATTTAGCAAGGTAATTCATTTCTCATGGGTGGGAATTTCTTTCCATTTTTGATTGGCCAGCTGCTCCACATAGAGCAAGGGCAAATTCATCCATTTGAAGATTTTTCTGTTGCATTCTTACCCTTCTGCCTTGCAGGAAACTTGTAAAGTGACAAATAATGATAAAGAAGTGTAGTAAGGCTGGCTGCTCCTGGTCCTCCTCTGACAAGGACTCTCCTGGCTCAGAAGACAAACTTACAAGCTCTGTGCCTGGCCCTTCAGGATGTGCAGACTCCATTTAAAGCCAGTTGCACACCTCCATCCAGATGAACAGACTTCCCAGCACACACTACAGCTAATTAATTTACTATGCTGGCTGGAGCTGTTGCAATTTCGAGTTGAACAATATCTGGAAGGCTACAGGTTCCCCATTCCTGATGTAATGGATTTGTGGTGGTGTTAAACAAATTATTAGGAATACCTTTGCTTTGGTGCCAGAAATTTATTAGATGCTAAATAGAACCACATTGTTGACTGTCTTGCCTGAAACAAGTTGGTTGGTGCAGCTGAAAGTGGTTTAAGAGTGCCCCTGAGAAGGAATTTGCACCTGGAGGTTTCCCCCATTCCTGTGATTGGTGCTTTTTTGTTTTTTTTTCTTTTAAAAAGGCAATAGAAAAAAATAATATATTAACATGTATTATTGGAAATATCCAAAAGTTGAGAAAGGAAAAAATGTTCCTCCCTGAATATATATGCAATGTGTCTCTTCCTTCAAATCCCTCCTTACATCCTTTCTTGGGTGGCCTTGGTTTACCCCCTTAATCCTCATGCCATTAATCCTCATTTCCAACTGTAACCAGTTTTAAGAAGGTGTAACTGCATTTGGTTACATTCATCCCTTCTTGCTCTTGTCTCTCTGTTGCATTTTCCATTGCATCCTCTGTGGGCTCAGGAATAATGATGGTGCTGTATAAAATAATTATTAAATGTCTGAGCAAGTATGATGCAGTAGCTAATCCCCCCAAATACACTTAGCCATGAAGCTTACTGACAGACTTGGGCCCGTCACTATTATTTTAAAGCGTTTTTGCTTTATTTGTTGTTTAAAAACTTCCAATGTAGGTTAGGCTGAGGATAAAATGAGGATGGGAGAAGAACCACGTAAGTTGTATTGAGCTCACTGGAGAAAATGCAACATCAAAGTGTTTCGTTGTGGTTGGAAGAACATCAAACCTAATACCATGTTCAGTTAAGTTTGAGGTACAACCACAGACCACATTTTGACTGTTTAATGTTGCAACTGTGGAGAATGGCTTTAGCAAGATCTTCCTTCTTTTTTGAGGCTTGCATCACTTTCTTAGCGGGGTATAATTAACCTGAAGGAAAGAGGTATGAGGTGAAATATTTTCAAAGTATCCAGATATTTGAAATCCATTGAAACATATCCATATAAACCAGAATCTTTCCCTTTTTTGTACTTTTAAAAGAAAATGGGCAGTTGTTTATCAAGGATTTTTTAGGAATAGGATATTATATCATGGGACAGGATATAGGATTAAAAGATCTAACTTTGAACCAGGTTACCCAAAAGACCAACTTTCCCTACATTTCCTGGTAAGGGCACTGAGGTGATCAAATGGAATCAAGTTAGTCTTGCCGGAGTCTGATAATTATCAGCTTATGGTGATATGGAGGAAGGTTTTTCACTGATGTTACAGAGCATGCTCGCTGTTGAAATAAGAGATGCCTTATCAGTATTGGTGTTTGCCAGCTTTTGAAGACACACCTGGTTACCCAGGCATTCTCTTTATATGAGCCTCCGACTTCCATTACTATGTTGTTTAATTGGAATTATTTTATTGTATGACACAACCTTGATGGCAGAAAGTGAGGAGGAATTAAAGAACCTTTTAATGAGGGTGAAAGAGGAGAGCGCAAAATATGGTCTGAAGCTCAACATCAAAAAAACGAAGATCATGGCCACTGGTCCCATCACCTCCTGGCAAATAGAAGGGGAAGAAATGGAGGCAGTGAGAGATTTTATTTTCTTGGGCTCCATGATCACTGCAGATGGTGACAGCAGTCACGAAATTAAAAGACGCCTGCTCCTTGGGAGAAAGGCGATGGCAAATCTAGACAACATCTTAAAAAGTAGAGACATCACCTTACCAACAAAAGTCCGTATAGTTAAAGCCATGGTTTTCCCAGTAGTGATGTATGGAAGTGAGAGCTGGACCATAAAGAAGGCTGATCGCCGAAGAATTGATGCTTTTGAATTATGGTGCTGGAGGAGACTCTTGAGAGTCCCATGGACTGCAAGAAGATCAAACGCATCCATTCTTAAGGAAATCAGCCCTGAGTGCTCACTGGAAGGACAGATCGTGAAGTTGAGGCTCCAATACTTTGGCCACCTCATGAGAAGAGAAGACTCCCTGGAAAAGACCCTGATGTTGGGAAAGATGGAGGGCACAAAGAGAAGGGGACGACAGAGGATGAGATGGTTGGATAGTGTTCTTGAAGCTACCAACATGAGCCTGACCAAACTGCGGGAGGCGGTGGAAGACAGGAGTGCCTGGCGTGCTCTGGTCCATGGGGTCACGAAGAGTCGGACACGACTAAACGACTAAACAACAACAACATTTTATTGTATATTTTCATTGTGGATATAAAAGGGTGGTATTCAACAAAGTTGTTGGGTGCATGTTTACATTTATTTATCATTTTGTGAATCACCTTCCACAATAAGTCCCAAGGTGATTTACAGCCATTCAACAAAAGCAACAAAAATAGGTTTAAAAACAATACAGAAAACATAAGTCGTAAAGAAATGTTATGTATTCTAAATACATACTCTGCTTCTTTGGTAAGTTATGACTTACATAACCTTGAAAGAATATATCCAGGATAGCTTTTCTACAAGTTCCATCTTGTACAGAAGAAAAAAAGAGGAGTGGGGAGGCTGAGTATTTTTTTTACAGTTCAGCCTCCTTTGGAAATTATAGTCAGTAACGTCTCAAAAAGAAAAAAAGGAAAAAAGAGAGTTTGCTGGCTTTTTAAAGACTAACAAATTTATTACAACAATAAATATGGCATAAGACTGTTCGGTATTTTTGCTGCAAGAGACTAATATGGCTATCCCTCTGGAAACCAAAATTAGGAGATGGGGAGGATGGGAGGCACATAGATTGTAATGACGTGTCATCTTAAAGCAGGCTGGCTACGGCTTAGAGTTGAAAAGATCTTGTCTTCTGCTGACAGATCTCAGGAGAATTACATTACTCCAGCCATCCCAGTT